TCCTTCTCAAAGTGAGGTCATGTTGCTCAGGGCCCTTTTCAGTCAAGGTATTTTAATATCTCTAAAGTTGGAGATTTCACAGCCTTTTTGGTTTCCTGTACTTAATTCTTACTGTGAAGAATTTTTTTCATATATCCAACTGGAATTTCCTTTGCACTGACTTGTTACTGCAATCTCTTGTCCTGACTTGTGCACTTTTTCTGAAAAGAGTTTGGCTTTCTTGTCTTTGTAGCTTCACTTCAGGGAGTAGAAGACTTCAGTTAGACCCTCCAGCAGTCTTCTGTTCCTCTGGTGGAATAAACCCAGTTTTCTTCGTGCCTCCTTGTACATCATATACATTGAACCCTGAAATATATTTATGAATGTTTGGAATAACCTAGAAGTTGTCATTGTCTTCAGTAACACAAAGGCTAAGACAGGCCAAAGAGAGTGCTCATTCTGCTTAAGCATTTCGAAGTATTACTGCCTGTGTACGTTTAATGTGCAACATTGTCTTCAGAGGAGGTCTTAATCTCATTGAGAATAGGCTATTAATTTTGCAGGAATGAGTAAAACATCTGAGGTCTAGACAGATTGCTTTATTTTCGTTTTGCTTCCCTATCTGTCCCCTGTTTGTTGCATCTAGCCCTCCTCAGGTAATAATAAACTTGTTTACTCATATACCTTCCGTTGGCAGTATCTGGCACTGCTGTGTTTAATGAGTAATAAGTTTTTCACAAAACTTGAGACACAAGTGGCATTTTATGCATCAGGAATGACTTTCCTTTAATGATCAGTTTTTGAGAAAATGATTCAGTTTATTGTTGCGGTGAGTTGCGTAAACTTTAACTTAGCAGAATATTAATAGAATGCTTTGCTAGATGACTGAGGAGCTTAGGCTGTGGGGTAGTGGAATGCATGCTTGCTGAATCACCTTTATCAAAAAGAAAGGAAGAATGATTGCACTTTTATTTAAGCCTAGCAGAGAAAAAGGTCATCTTAATTCTCTATTGCAAAAAAGTGTACTCAAAATATATGACTTGCCTAGAAAATTCTAAGCATGTTGTAGTGTATGTTGATGGAAGGGTTCCTGAGAACATCCATCACTCCATTGCTTTTTGCAATGTTGCATTTTTCTAGGAAAAGATATTGTGTTACATTTCCAAGCAGGCTCTAAAACACGGCAGCCTGCCCTCTGTACCTATTTTTTCCCCTTTCCAAAACTAAAAAAATTAAATCAGTTATTTCGTACAAGGCTTTTTAAAAAGATACTTGGTATAGGTAATGTGCAATAGCTGGCTTTTGAGTTTGTTCAAATAGGTCAGATGGCTTAATTATTTACCTGTGTATCTGTTTGACTACGACATCTAAACGAGTTCCTGCACCTGATCTGGTGTGTCTTGCATGGTGACTCTCAAGATACACCGAGTTCAGTATGTAGAGCTATTTAAAGACAAGAAACCTAATTTTCTTTTGTGGAGAACATTGATAACATCACATTTTTGTTCCTACATCCTCATGGATAGTGGTATCATCCTCTGGGTACTGGAGCCAATGGAACTGTTTTCTCTTATGCCAGATGTGAACCCTGCCTTTAGTGTCTTAGATTTGTGAATGGTAAGTGTTACTCAAGGAACTGGAGAGAATGGCTATTTACTTAATAATGGCATTTCAGCTGTTGAGTATCTTGCTAAGCTAAAATGACTTCCGTGGACTGAAGCATTTGCAGTCTCTCAGAATACTGTAGTACAAAAATAATGGATACCTGTTTTGTTTCTGTGTCTGGTACAGAACTAGCACAGTGCTAATAGACTAGACCTAAATAATGTACTTTATAGTTGAATCTTGCTTTTCTTTTAAAATCTTTCTTCAGAGAAGGAGGGAGTGTTGGGACAGGAGTTCACTTTATGTAGAAAGTTCCTTTCTCACCAGTCTAGCGAATGGTGCTTAAGATGTGAGGACATTATACCAGGATGGAACAAATTTATCAGCCTCTTGCACTACTTGCTGTCATCTTTGGCTTAAATGTGGTCGTGCTTCCTTCTGAGGTACTGGTGTCAGTGGAGTTTGTTTTCTCTAGCCTTGGGTCTTAAGATCTGGTTCCCTCAATCTGCAGTCCTTCTATAAGACATAGAACGTCACAGTCCAGCAGCCAGTTTTTTTGACCTTCTGAGCAATACCGGATAATTTCAGAAGCTTCACTTTGTTTGTGAGGCTCTGGGCTTCCCATTCTAAATTCTCCGGGTGTAAGGAAATGTGAAGAACGTAATCTCACGTAGATCCGTAGTCTACTGTGGTGAAACTATTTCTGTTACCCAAGTTAATAATCTTAAGCCAATGCTGTTATTTTTTCACTATACTGCAGTCTGCTGAAGACCATGAGTACAGTTTTCTTTAACCTCCTGGAACCCAGAGTCCCTCCTCTTGTAAATAAGTCACGAGCTGTCTGTTTCTGAGGAAGGCTGTACTGACTTTTCATGCTTCTGTGGACTCCTCCCTCTAAGACAAACTTCACTCTTGCTTCTTGTAACTTCTGCGTATGTTTCTAAATATTGTGTGTTGCCCTTTGGAGACAATATCTCCTTCTGCTAAATAGGCATTTAACCTGCATACTGCTTTAGTGGATTTAGTCTCCAGAAAAACATGGCTTAAAGCTCAGCTGATTTCAGTTCATGAAATTGTGTAGTACCAGGTCTGTGTTCTCTCTGCTTCTACAGCGTACACACATGTATTTTCCAAATGTCTGAGGGAAACTCCACAGCCAGTTGCCTGCTGCAGAAACTGTCAAAGTGTCACAGCAGAATGTCTAGCTGGCTGTAACAGAGATGATTTGTAATGCCTCTCAGGTCCTTCTCTCGGAAGCGTTTGGGGTTACCCTGCGCTCTGCGCCGTTTGCATGGGGGCAGAGGGACACAGCCCGGTCAGCTCTTGCTGGACATTCCAGATGCTCCTGCAGAGTGTCCACGCACACTTTGAATACATGCAGCCTCTGAGATTGCAAATTGTATACAGCTTTACCTACACAGAAGATTTAAATCCATTTTCAATTCAGTGAGCTCACTGGGCCCATTTGTAGTAACCACTGAAAACAGCCTTAAGATCATTTCTTAGTTCCATCATTTGCTGCTTAAAAATTATTTGGGCTACCCACCCCATAATCTGGGATTGAAAGAACCTTTGGGATTTTCAGTGCTTTTTGCAGTGAAAATTGAATGCTGCTTGGTTTCTCTTAGAGGAGACAGTGAAGCATCTGGCTGGGTAAATGAAGCATGTAGATTGCGTGAGGCGTGAAGTCAGATGCTCCTGCTTTGGCTGCCTCAGAGTTCCAGTGCAACAACTGCTGGACATAAACAGCTGCTGAGATCTCTCATCTTCCTGTTTCCCACAAAGGAAAAAACAGCAGCTGGGTCTGAAGTGCCTGAAATGATTTAAATGAGTTCCTGGTTATTTCTACAGATATCTTCAGTTTCATCAACAGAGTGCGAAGTGAGAAGGAAGAACGGACCCTAAACTATCCATCTTATTCAAAAAGACTCTGTTTTATATTTTTTTGTTTATGCTTCTACCCTCAGTCCTGACTCTAGATGAGAAAAATGTGTCAATGCCCCAAGATGGCATACTAGAAATGCCATCTGGCTGGGAATTTTTGGGACAGGGAGGTTGCTTGTACTTCAGCAAACCTGTGTTTGAATCTTCCTCATGTTGCTTTATGGTCATGTGAGGTGAAAAAAGGTAAGAATATTTAGCATCAATACTTTGGCCACTTCTGGTATAGCAAAGCTGCGGGTGACTTTTTAATTATCTCATGATTTTCCATGTTAAGATCTTATTACCATCTGTAGAAGTACACTACATTATCAGTTTTGGAGGCTGCAGCTTGGGATTCTGGAAAGAGAATTGTTTTGAATTGCAAGCTGTAAGAGGGCTGCATGTCTGTCTTCAAAGCTGGAATGAATTGCAGATGAAACCCATAGCAAAGAATGAAAAAGAAATATTTTTAAATGCTACTGTAAAAGTAATGCTTCCAGGACAAGGGTTATGCCTTAAGAGGATGGGTTTGGTTGGGTTTTTTTGTAATTTTCAAAATTTGGATATACCTAAATCTGACAAAGAGTATTTCGTGTGAGCAAATTGAGGTCTCTGTTTTGATAGTTGATTCGGATGGGAAGAAGGATGAAGAGTAGTTGGGATGGGGATGGAGAGTGGCAGGAAATGATAAAACTTCCGGACCTTGTGAGATCGCTCGATTTCTGTCTTGTCAGCTTTGGGAATATCTGCATTTTGTGCCTCCTACTTTTATAATGGCTCTGTTCAGAGGTGCCGTATCCAGGGATGTCTCAGTGATGAAGTTGCATTGCTTACTGCCATCCATTACATGCCTTCCTCCCCTGTGGAGAGAGATGTGCTGTGGAGTTCTGGTTTTGGAAGGTAAAGTAGATACGTGTGTGTGTGTGTGTGTGTGTGTATGTGTGCGTGTTCAAAATATCTGCTGTTGCATGTTTGTGTTGATAAAGGGAAGGCTGAAGTCATACATTTACAGTGGGAGCAGGAGGTGGTGAGGTTTTATAAAGAGAATTGATTTCTCAGGGCACTCACTGCATAGCTGCAGATCATAGGGTTGTTTTGCCTCTGACACAGAGCAGTTTTACCCTGACTGCAACAACTTAGTTTTGTTAAGATCCAAGTTGTCGCTGGCCTCTTTGTTTCAGACTTCAAGTGATTTTTTTTTTGTTATGATTTTTTAAGGCAGTATAAACATGTGTCTTAACCTTTATTTTTAAGGAAGTTCTAGAAAGCTTTATTTTTCTTAAGGGTAGTAAATTTGTACAGTGACTGTTTAAGTGCATTTATTATGTAATCTGTTTTAGCAGGATATTTTTATATTTTCTGTCTTACTGATTCCTTTTTTCTTTTCCAGAAAAGACTTAATACAGAAATTTTGTAGTTTTTAATTCAACTTTTTTTATACCTTATCATCTTAGGATGAATATTTAAACAACAATCTTCAGTCTTGCTTCAAAATGTCCCTGTGTGCATCTTCTCACAAGGACTTTTCTCAGTTGCTGCCACTTCAGGATATTGGATGCAATAAAACAGAAATTAAAAACTCACCCACTGGTATCGTCTCTCCAGTTCCCTACAGCTGTAATCAGTCCACACTGACAGCAGAAGACAGTCCAGTCTATATTCCCTCATCTTACATGGAAAACAGACACGAATATTCTGCAATGGCATTCTGCAGTCCTGCTACAATGAATTGCAACGTTACCAGCAATTTTGGTGATTCAGAGAATGCGTCTGTGAGGCAAACATCAAGCCCCAGTGTGCTGTGGTCCGCTCCTGGCCATCTCTCCCCTCTGACACTGCACTGTCAGTCATCGCTCCTGTATGCAGAGCAGCCAAAGAGCCCATGGTGCGAAGCAAGGCCGATGGAGCCAGTGCTACCTGTGACCAGGTCAGTACTACTCATGTCTTTAACACTTTGTTGGAAATTATTCCCAGGTTCTTTACTTCTTTTAAGTCTTTCCTTTTTACCTTTGACTTCTATGTGTTAGTCTCTCTGAAAAACAAAACCAAACCAAAAAACCTCCACCAGACACCAAATCAGTCCTGGGTTTTGTGTTTATTTCAGAAGTTACATTAAAAAAACCACAAACCCAAAAAGTTTCTTTTTCAATGCCTCCTCAGAGAAATATATGCTGACACAAAGCACTCCAAATACCTTCAATGTGGGAAATGTTTATTGTGTGTAAACAAAAGTTCAAGACTGCTAGGTGCTACTTTGTGTAATGAAAGTGAATTTTGCTCTGGTAGATCAAGTACTTTGAGGGAAAGAAGTAAAGGTTCATTCTTTTTTCCTTTTCATATGTTTTTTGAATTCCAATTTATCTGGATTTTTTTTTTTTAACTGCACCTAGTAGTTGTGAAGGCTTTTCATGAACTTGGAATTAAAGGGAAATGTTTCCTTTGGGTTTTGGTTTTAGTATCAACTATCACATAGTGCATGCCTCACATTCAAAAGGGTGCTGCTACTGAAAAACTCTGACACTGTTTCTTGTTGCTGTTCTCAACTGCCTTTATGAAGACATCGTGAACAGCAGATTCCCAGGAAAAATTTTTGGCTGTAAAGAAGCGTATTTGCAAAACAATGTTCCTGTTCTAGACATTTACTCATATTACAAACCATATGCAGTGTGTAGATCATCAGCTGGTGAAATTACTCCATTCATGGGCACAGCAGCTGTTGGATGGATAAAAGCACAGGGTGTTGCAGGTGCTGCTCCTTTTTAGCAGCTGTATGTTTGTTCATAGGGCTCCTTATTTAACTTCAGCAGTCATTGTCAGTATGAAAAATAGTGCGTCCTGGCAACAGTTTCAGTTCAATTGTTAATAAAGGATTTGCGCTATTTCTGAGACTAGCTACATTCCTTCTGCAATGGGTGCCCCTTATGTTGTCTGCACAGGGCCAGGGCGTGAGATCTATGTCTACTTCAGACTTGCAGGCTGCACAGATCTTCAGCCCAGCCACCTGACTAATCTCTGTTTGGAGTCAGCAGAGAGCAGCAGGCAGTTCTGGAGTGCAAATTTACTCTAAGTGTAGGTGTGTGGGTTGGGAGATGCTGTTTGGGTGGCACTGGTACACAGAAGAATTCCCCAAGCAGGTCTAACATGAATAGGGCTAACATCTGAAGTCTTCCCACTTAGGTTAATGTTTCAGAATGGTGACAGCCCTGGGAGGGCTGCTGTAGGTTAGTCTTTGAAGCTGTCCAGATGATAGGACAGCAGCTGGAATAACCCAAGAGCAACGGCACCCCGTCTGATGCTCTGCAGTGTGCTCTCTACGTAGACAGAAGGGAAGCCAAACCTGCCAAGCTGGAGTTTGAGTCTTCTGCCATTTGTATAGATTCATACAGACTATTGCTCTTGTAGCTCATGATGACCTAACTTAAAGAGGAGAAATCAATGAAATCTGGAGTCTAAATTTATGGATGATCTTTATTGTTCAGCAGCAAGTAGCTACTGTGTTTCTTGGTAGCTGGACCTTCTCGGTGGTTCATTTGTCTCAGTATGATATGTTGTAACCCCCAGTTTGTGTACAGTAGTTGTGAAAGAGAAAAAAAATTAATTTGACATGGAAATATGAAAAGCAAGACCTATAATTCCCTTATTGTAGACATCTGTCCTGAAATAAGGCTGTAAAGTAAAAAAAAAAGCCCCATGTTTCCTTCTGCTTTATCCTTTGGTGAGGTGTTAAATTAATGTCATGAACATTATATTTATTGCCATGGGAACAATGACTGTGACACTACAGATTCATAGATTATACCTTGAAGGAAGAGTTCTTGGGACTGACACTTAAACAACTAGCTCTGGGGGAAGGGAGAGGCTAATGCTGTAAAGTGTAAGTAATTTTAAACACAGTTATAGTTCGAGAAAAGGGATTTTGTTTGAAAGATGAATAAGAAAGCATTACTACATATTTAGGCCCATTACATAGTTTATTTTACCTTTTAAAATAAAGCAAGAGTCTCACCATGAGAGGAGTTTTCCCTGGGTGTAAATTTCTGTTAATATTAGCTAAACTAGTGTGGTCCACTTTGCTAAATCTGACCACTGTGTAATTTGGATCTCCTTATAGGTCAGCTTAAAATAAGGAACCTGAATTCTTAGCATTCCCTCTTCTCACAAATAGGTTCATTATGAGAATACAGAAAAAATGTATTTAAATGTGTTAAATGCAAATGTTCTGCAGTGCATTGTTACGTTGCACCAAGAGTTCAACAAAAATGAATTGTATTCCACGTAAAAATAGATGTGAATTTGAGAGTTCAATTTTTTTGTATGAAATGGCAATGATTTGGTGATAAAGACTCTGCTATATTTATTTGCATTATAGCTCCTGTACCTGGTGAAGACAATAGAAACAGTCTCATAAACTTTGTTGGTTAAAATGACATCAAGAGAAAAGGAATGTGACAGTGTAATTATATTATTTTTTAAAGTAGACGAAAATTGATTTCTGTCTTCATCCCTTAAATAAAAGGATTTTAATTAAAAAAACAAAAGGTTTATTTTAAAAAAGAACAGATATATTACTTTCTAAAAAGTATTGGGAAGCTTTAATGAAGTTGCCAGAGTGATATTTCTGGAACCTAATTTGTTCATCTTTTCTATTATTTTCTTTGCGCTTCTGACTAATCGCAGGTAGAGAGTGCAAGTAGAGGTGTTTGGGTACACCGGCTAGCAATGCTTGCTTAATTAGAAATTATATAGTAACTTTATCATGTTTCTGCTTTGCTTAAACTCTGCTCTGAAGCCATAATTATTTGCATTATTCTCCTATGCTTTTTTTTTGTTGTGCTCATTCTGTAGAGCACTTAAATGTATCTTGAAATCTCTTTGAAGTGATGGATTGGCATCTCTGTTTTATGATGGAGGATTTACAGAGATTAAGCAAAAATATGGATCAATTTTGAGATATCTATGACATGATTTTCAGCATAGTAATCAATGTTTGGAGCATAGCAGAACCTGTGCTTTGGAGATATAAATATTAACAGTTGTGTGGAAGATAAATATTGAAAAGTACTCTTCAGCTGATTTTTGCCCACCATCTTGCACATATTCTGGAAGAGAAAGGAAGACCCTTCTTCATCCTACAGTTTAGGCTCTTACGGGATTGAATTATCTCCTGGCACTGAATGAGCCAGTGGCCTGTGGGAGGGAGGGAAGAGTTATAAGAAATTATAAAGTGTGGACTATTAATTTTCGACTTACTGGATTTCTTTTTTTTATTATTTTCTCAGTGTGTTTTTTCTCTCTCTTTCTTTATAATGTACAATAGTTTAGGTTTTAAAAAACCCTGACAGACAGCAAATGCCATGAGCAAATCTTGCTGCTTTCTAGGTCAAATCCTTGCCACCCTTTGTTGAGGTGAAGTTGAAGTTAGGTTCAGATTTTACAGGTGTGGCATATGCATCAAACACCTGCTGTGGCAAAGCTGGAGGTAATTAGGAGACTCCAGAGATACTGAATAACATAAATAGTCTTGCTAATTCCTTCTCCTCTAGGGCAATCATCTTGTCACTGTTGATGACTAGTAGGAAATCACTGACTTGTTACTTTCAAAAAAATGGTAATTCTTTTTATGGAAATATAATATCTCTATGTAGAAACCATGATCCTAAAATAGTGAGGAGTATTAGAAGGTGTAAAGCGATAAATCTTTGTCCATGTGATTCCTCAGTAGCAGCCAAGGTACATCCCCCGTTTTCCTGCATCCTTTGGTGCAGGAGCTTTGTGGGCATCTGGCCAGCTACCACCAGTTCTTCTGGAGGACCTGGCAGCTCATTCATCTGCTGAAATGCTGGAGTGCACCAGTCCCAAGGGCACTGGGAGGTGGTCTCTAACTGCCTGTGGGGTTACCAACTGCAGTTTGCTGTCTGATCGTGAGGTTCTCAGGGTGAGGAACATGTACCTTAAAACTCTGGACTACTTCCTACTTCTGTTGTCCTGAAAGGCAACAGTAACAAAATGGTTGGTTTTGAGCCTCCTGCTGTGCTGCTGCAGCTATCGCAGATGAGCAGATTTTGATGCCTGTTCCGCCGGCAGAAGGAATTTGTTCCAGATTGTTGCTCTGTGTGCAAGCTGTTTGCTGCAGTTGGCGGAACTCACGCAGCTTGCATGTGTGCAGGGTGACGGTCGTTCAACTTTTAAGCAGGGAAAGAAAAAGTGTTTTTTAAAACAGTTGTCATGCCTGGAAGGTAAAAAACAACACTCCTCAGTGAGATGTTATGGTGTGTGCTTTTTCTTTATTTTCATCCATAACATCTCGGTGCTTTAACGAGGGCAATAAACATTGCTCTCCACAGCATATCAGTCAGCCCCTGAGACGCTCTCTAGCTGATTTTGATTCTCTTCTGACTTTCACAGTAGAGGTTAAAAATATGCCTCTTCTACAGATGTGAAACACCAAATTACTTTTTCTTCCAAATACAGGGAAGCAGGAAGGAATCACAATGCTTTTTCCTCCTTGCCTTAGCAGCAGATTAGGTGTGTGTGATACAGTCCCTTTATTGTAAGGGAGAGTTGAGAGTTCCCCCCCACTGATCTTCCCAGCATGGCAGAAGGGGAAATAACTCAGGGATCCAGCAGTCCGTTAACCGGGAGGAGGGTTGTAATCAAAGACTGCGCCTGTTAGACATCTAAACACCCTTATTCCCTGCAATATCTGAATGAATTAACATTTTTTAAAAGCTTGCAGTAACTTAATTGTACAACAAATACCTTAATTTTTCTGTTTTGGAATTTGCTCAGAGAACCACCGTTTTTCCTTTCCAAATCTTCTACTAGGAAACTGGAGCACATTCGCCTCAAATGCTTACAAACTTGATGATTTTTAGTTGGTACGTGGGTGTGTTTGTCCTTACCTCCTGTCATGAAACCAGCACAAAGTCTAGTTTTACTATGTTAGTTAAGGCCTCTTTGATGGCACTTTTGGCATGTTTCTACTATTCTATTTAAACTTGCTCTTGTTGGTGAACAGGTTTCTTCTGCCCTGGCAACATACCCTTGTTCTTTAGAAGTCATAAACCACGCTGCCTGCTGTCTTATCCCAACTGGTATTTCTTCTCCTCCCTAATCCTGATAGAAGGTGGGATAAAGAAAATTCTGCAGTTCCTAACTTCTGCCTCTGTGCTCAAATTTATACCTATAAGATGGCTATATAGCTTTGCTTTTGTCAAACTGCTTCACGCTGTTTTCTCTCTATCTAGAAATTGTACTGACCATGAAGGTGAGGCATGCTAAAATCAGAAAGAAAATGTGGTCCAGAGAAGAAGTACACAATGGATGTGCTTCCTATACCTAAAAAAAAATATAATGATAGTCTAAGTTCCTTTCCTTTTGCTGTTTGTTTACAGGATCTTGGTGTCAAGAATTGGCTTTTATTTCATGTTTTTATCCTGTTCTAATTTTAATCCAGTCACTGAGAGCAGTTCCAGTAAGTTGGAACTATTTGCAGTGCTTCAGGAATGCATATATCTTATTAATTTATATGGAGCAATTATTCTTTTATGTGTGAAAGTGTTTTATTAATTGTGTTTCTCCATTCTTCTTGTATTTGGACTTCCTTTTAGTTAGCATTAGGGTGATCAACATGGGTCGTCATCTTGAACAGAAAACTTTGTCTAACACTGAGTTGATCTTGTAGGCTGAGATTCACGTCAACATATTTGTCTCCAGCATCTCATTGAGTGAATAAAGCCTCATTTAAAGGATGAAATACTTGAGACTAAATGTGTATTGCTCCATCTAGACTTTTACCTTGCTAACAGTGCGAAGCAACTGCAGCTGTGTTTGTGGTAGTGTTTATGGTGTCAGTCCGAGCTGTCTGAGTTCGCATTTTCCATATGAAGCTTCCCAAAAGCAAAGTCCACTTGGTTCACAAATTCCTGGACTTGTAAATTTCCAAGAATTCTTCAAGATCCATCAGCATTCCATATGATTTTCTCCCAGAGTTCATGTGAATGAAACATCAGCAGTCCAGATTTATGTCTTTGAGTATTTTAAAACTTTATAGTCTGTCACCATTGAAAGCTCTGGGATCAGACTATATGCTTTAAATAACCTTATCAGAAAAAGGCTTAACAGTTTTGCACGCTATCCTGTGTTCAGTAATGAGAAGACTCTATAGAGAGAGAATAGAAGACAATGGAAAATAATGAAACTCTTTGCAATGTAGATTAATTTTTCCCTCTTTTATAACAGATGTTTTTCTTTTCTGTCAGAGAAACGTTAAAAAGAAAAACTAATGGCAATGACTGTACAAGCCCAATTGCAAATATTCCTGGCTCAAAAAGGGACGCCCACTTCTGTGCAGTCTGCAGTGACTATGCTTCGGGATACCACTATGGGGTCTGGTCATGTGAAGGCTGTAAAGCATTCTTTAAAAGAAGTATTCAAGGTAGGAGAATCAACTTTTCATAACTTTACTCAAATATGTATGATCAGAGGCTGCAGCGGTTGATCTAGTAATGAGCTGATCTAAAATCCTGATGTATGGTGCTGCATGCTGAAAATAGAGCAACACATGATTTGACTATCTTTTGGCTCCTATATTATCAAGATCTGGAAACATGACAAAGTGAGCAACTGATTTCTTTAGAGAAGAGGTGGAATGCATAGCACGGGAGGCCCCTGCAGCACAGGCAGCAGTGGGATGGCACTGCAGACCTGTGAATCTGATTGCAGTTTGTGTCCCAAAGTAGACACAGTAATTGTGAATTTGTTATAATAGGCACAATTAGAGTAGGTAATTGTCCAGACACTTTGCTTGCCAGGAACTATTCTTGACAAGAGTTTATTGCTTGGAGCTGTTGAGTCATAGCATATAACACCTACACAGTACATAGGATATAAAAATATATATAGCAAGTATTAGGTAAAAAACTGATTATTGTTATTTCTCAGCCCTCTGTCCCCCAGAGCCTACATTGCAGTGTTTCTTACACTGCCAGATCTCTCTATCTAAGATTTCCATTTCAGTGTTTAAATGCTTAAATATTTAGTATTTAGTTCAAATTTGCTGAGTGGCTGCAGTATGAAGTAAATGTAGGTCTCCGTGTTCGCTATCACAGCCTGTGGGCAGTGACTTATGCACCATATTGCAGCTTTGGACCACTTCATTTCTTTAACCTTGGCTCTAGTTACCATACTCTTTGGCCCCATCTGGGACCTTTTGGTGGAAACTTCACTGGATTGACATTGGATACTACATGCAGATACTAACACAGAAAATCCTGTCATTTTTCAGTCTGTAATGTTCCCTTCCTCTTCTGCACACTAAACCTTTAGCAATCTTGACATATTTTCTTTTGGATCGATATGGCAGAGTTGGTGTCACCATTAGAATCAAATTCAGTTCAAAACTTGTTTGCCTTTTCAATTTATTGTGCAAGTTCTGCATGGGCGAATAACCATTTCTATAAACTGGTGCAAGTACTTTTGATTTCTAAAATAATTGAAGAGAACTTTGTCTCCGGTTTGTCACAAATGGAGACTGAATTTGATCTCAAAGTGTTTTCTGTCAGGATAATTATTTGTCTGCGCTGCATTGCTCACATGTGCTGTGGCCGTGAACAAGTTACCCATTGTGGCCTTTTGTACACCTTAATGTACCCTGTCAGGTAACATTTGTTTGTAATTTAAATAAATGAAAGTAAGTTCTTGGCGTAAAACACTATCAAGCACTCACTTGCAACTGTTGTTATGAAAGATGTTGCTTATAAAAGTAAAAAACTTCTGGGCTTACCATAGACCAAAATGTTGGGCTAAAGTCTAATTAAAATTAGATGGTATGACGGAGCAACTGTGTGTGGTCTTCTCTGCTTGTCCAAGTTTGTAGCGTAGTGTGGTCGTCCAACATCTCTGAACATCTGTCTGCAAGCTAAATTATCCCAAGGCCACAGGAGTTTTAAACCACTTTATACTCCTGTGTGCTTGAGTTATAGTGCACCAGAGAGCTTCCTCTTCCTTTCCCCCCATGTTGTGTGAAGAGTGATAAACAGTAATTTGTTTTTCAGTCATATCTGCCAGTAGGAAATGGGACAAACTGTAACCTGATCTCTTATTTTTAAAATTGTCGGTTCAAAAATTCAAGGTTAAAATTATTTTAATTTTGCAAGGAAGTAGTCACAATGGTTCTGTTAAATAATTACTCTTGGGGACACGAACTCGTGGACTTGCATCAAGTAAAAAAATCCTCTACTCGTAGACTGCTGTATCTTTGCCTGATCTATTCTTAAAGTCTGAAAAAATGCCTTAAAAAACAACCTGAGAGAAAAGAGATGAAGAAATATAAATGAGTGAATGTTTTTTGCATCCTTTAGTAACTACTGCAGGAGAGATTTCCAGTGTTTGGCAGGAGATGATTCAACTGTATTTACACCAAGAGCATACTCAAGTCCAGTTTACAGTAATAAACCTTTGGACCAGATTATTGATTAATGAAATACAATAACGTAAAGGTGTTGGGGTGGGGTAAGGTGAGGTGGGAGACAAGGAGAAGACAACAGAAGAGGCTGTAGTGGAAACTGATGAAAATAAGAGAAACATTCGTCCAGAATATCTGAAAGTTATACCTTCTGCTTGTGCTTTGCTTTGTACTATACAGTGTGCATTCCTTTATACTGGTCTTTCTCTCTTGAGCTGCTTTTTTTATTAACTTTGGTCCAGGGTCAATCCTCCAAAGGCTTCTTCATTCCTGGGAATCACCACGCCAGAGAGTTCAGTAAATAGAGCTGTAGTTTACTTAAATCTTTGCAAGACTGAAGCTGTTTTGCACTGCTGTTTTCAACTCTGCTGAGTTAAAAAAATCTACTGCCTGCAATCTGTAGAGTCCCAATATACAACAAGAAGTTGGAGGTTGCGAGCAAATTTCTACTAGAGCGTATGTCCCATTTTCAAAAATGAGTTGTTCTTTGTAGGTGCTTGGTTATCTAACAGTCATCAGTAAAAGCCGGTCTAAGTTGTCTGGTTACTTTTAGAGGCCACAGACTGGTGTCTTCAGTATAGGATAAATATGCATTTTTGCATCAGTTAAATTAATGGAGCTTAGCTATATGCATATAAAAAAGTTGAGGTACTTAAAATCCAGAGGTCCCCATTTGGGAAACAACCAAGAGGCACTGTTGGAGATATTAAATTTTGCTTTCTTACTCTGCTGCAGGACATAACGATTACATCTGCCCAGCTACCAATCAATGCACGATAGACAAAAACAGGCGCAAAAGCTGCCAGGCATGTCGGCTACGGAAATGTTATGAAGTGGGAATGATGAAATGTGGTGAGTTTTGCATGTCTGTGTTGTTTGCTTGGGTTTGCTGGCTTTTTTTTTTTTCTTTCAGTCAATTCTGCTTTGATTTTTTTTTTTTTTTTACAACAGGCAATTAGAGCAAGGTTTAAGCTGGTTTTATAGGATGGAATGTCCTGATTCTCAAAGCAGAAGAAGACTTTCCACTTTCGGAAGAAAACCTGTGGGAAGGAGTAAGGTGCAGGTTAAGCACGTGAAAACCACCATACCTCTGCAGAGCTCTGTGAAGGCAGTTTACTTGCGTTCTGCGTTCTGCAGAATGGGAAGCGGAGACCTGCTGCTGCCTGAGCCTCAAACCAAACTGAAGTCCCATCTGATATGGGGTAAATGAGCCGGTACTGTGCTCTGCTGGTTGAATGTAATGCAAGACCAGCAATGTCACATCAAAGCAGTAGTTACTTAGCGCAGTAGCCTGCCTCCAAGAGTGGCAAGAGTGAATGCCTTGTGGTGAGACTAAGAGTGAGACTAGCACCTAAGTGAAACTACTGCTGGCAACTCTCAGCTTCCAAAAATTAGCAGTTGGGGATGTCTGGTCTAGAAGACATTTCTTGTATTTAAAAGGTCTTAATATATTAATCGAATGATAACTTTTCCATTATACCTCTTTTTAATCCTGTAAAGCCTTAACACCTACAATGTGACACAGCAGCTTGACCACCTGTTGTGAAGAACCAGCTCGCTGGTTGCCAGACTCTTTTGTGGGACTTTGGTGGGGCAGTGAGGGGAAGGCAGTGGGTGAACTGTTCTTTTTTTGAACAGACCGTTTTCATACAACACTCTCCAGCTCTTCCATCAAAAGAAGCAGTGAACAACTACTGTTTGTCACTGCACCATCCAGAATTATCCAGCCTTTTCTCTTATGCCTATCTTGTGCTTACAGTGATGTGACTTCGCTGTAGTTGTACATTTATAAATGAAATTTTAAAGGTTACTTTTAAGAAGAAAATACCTTAAAAGTTCTTTCCATATCTAATGTACTTTCTCAGTCAAAGTTTGTTGTTGTTTCTTATACATTCCCCAACATACATGATAGAAATAGGCTGGGAAAACACCACACAAGAACTTTGGAGTGGAAAGGAGAAGGCCACTATGCTTGGTCCTCTGTGATTTGCAGGCATGCATCTCATTTCATCCCATTTAATGTAGATACCTACTTCTCTTCTCTAGCCAGTGTTTTCATCCTCCCACTGCTTTGATCTGAAGACTGTTTGCAGGATATTATTTCTTTCACTGGGTACATTCTTTAGAATTCCAGGCTGCATTTATTGCTGGACAATTAATGCCCACTTGTTCTTGTGACAACATTGTCTTGTAGTTTAGAGGCTCCTCTTCTCTTTATTGTTCACATTCTGGTTGTATTTGGGGACTACACCATATCTCCTCACAACCTTTGTTCTATTAGGGTAAATAAACCAAGAAAACTCCTCCTCTTGCAAAACAGGGAAGTAGACAGAATCGAGCTTGTCCCACAATCTGCTCCAGGCTGAAATAATCCATTTTGCACTGGGATGACCAGAATCATGGGCAGTATTCCTGTGAACTCTCCTCACTGCAGCAGCATTAATACATGTCTGTTTCTGTCGGAGCCTTCCTCTGCTTACAGCCCAGGATCCTGTTTGCCTTTTTCATGGTTGCATCACGCTGGCAGTTCATAATCACGCTATGACCTGTTATGATTGCAGCCTCCCTGTTCATTTCTAGCTGATAACTTCCAGCTTAGAGCTACAATTTTGATTGTTCCTTCTATCCTTTTTGTACTCCTGAAGTACATTTAGTTTCTGTTGCTCAAGTCAGCTAGTTCTTTCTATACGAAGCTACTACCTTCTTCAGCACTGATGATACATCTCAACTCTATTGGTGTTTTTCATTAATATGGTCTTAGCTACCTTTGCTGTTTGGCCTCCAGAAAGGAAAGCCTTATGCTTGCAAATGAGACTCCTTTTGAAACCTTATTTTCTGAATGGTGTCACTGTCTTCTGGTCATCTTTATTTTACTCAAAGTTTTTGCAGCAGGGGTTTCTATCAAGCCCCAGTTTTGGAGTTGGAGAGTTTTTGTGAAGATTGATTCCACTATGATATTATAAGGTGGTCCTCCACAATACTTTCCTTGAATGAATACTTTTATTCTTATTGTCCAGGAAGTCCTGGTTTGTGATTAGACTTCATAGGTACTATGGTATTACAAGTAGCAAATAATGATAATATGTACTTATGTCTTAGCCTGTGTTCCTTTTAATTTTGTCATGTATTCATAGACATTTTTTCCTGCAATAATAAATATGACATTCATGACTGTGCCAGACCAAAAATGACACTTTGAAACTGTAACAGGAAAAGAACAGGAAATGTATTTTTTAAAAAATAGTTTTTTAAATAGTAGCACTGAAATTTGAGTCTCTGGAGAATTTAATTTGAGAATCAACAATTCAATCAACAAATCAACAATTTAATTTCAGAAAAAGGAATGTAAAAATTACTCAGCATAGTCTGAGTTGCCTGATGAACTGAGGCACCTGTGAGTAAAGCTGATGCATGGACACATGGTGAGACATTTAAACCAGACAGATTTTAAGACTGTATTTCTTGCATGAAACATAAATGCCTTTTCCTGCAGACCAGAGTGATTATCTTCTAAACTTTTTCTTGTTAGAGCCATGCTGTAATACCAGTTTTTTACTGTAGAAAGCCACAAAAGAGGAGTACATTTTCTTTTTAATGAAGGCTTTTCCGCATCTCTGCTCCTTTCCTAGGTCACTTAGTGAATGCATTGGTTCACATCTGCTAAAACCCTGGATAGGATAGAAAGGTTTGTAAGTGCATTTTTGCTCGGTGGAGACTTGTTGTCCAGCAGAAGTGATAAAAGAACCTTAATTACTACTTTGTAGTTTATGAAAGTGCTTCATAAAAACTTGGTACTGTTTGCATCAAATCTTTAAATCCTCATTTTGCATGTTATCAATAGAAAATTAAGAAAAAATACACATGTATGTGTGTGTGTGTACATATAGCATACGTTTCCGTGTATAAATGGGATTAGGCAGTACATGCCATCTTTAAAACAGTAGGAGGCAGTAGGGAAGCATTGCTTTGGAGTTTCCTGGTCCGAGATTCTCTTGGATGCCATTGCATTCACAAACATTGAGAAGTCAACCCAACAAGCCATGGGTATTTCAGTGGAGCCTAGCTTGGGGGTGCTTTGTATTAAGGTGATAATGGATTTTCTTACAAAACACACCATCGTTGCCAAAAGCACAATGAGGTTCTTAGATAGTGCATCTGCAGATTTCTCTGTAGGAAGTCTGTGTTGCCTACTGTTCCAATCAAGAAAACAACTGTTAAATTTTGGCACTAGGGCTACTAGCAATGGTAGAAAAATAATTGCAAAGCACTGTCACCAGGAACAAGGAGAACAGGAATACTGCAGTAAACTCTGCCCAACAAATTTGAATAAAACAGGTAAGGAAAAAATTGATCTTCTCTTGGAGCTCTCTGGTGTTTACCTGTGGAGCCTGAATTGGACTAGGCTGTTTGCCAAAGGCAGTAAAGTAGAAGGGCGTTGCTTCCTCACCTACCTATAGCCACTCTGGGAGTAGCTACACTTGTACTGTTCTTTTTTGCTTCCTGAGGCTCAAATAGACCTTCTTCCATTAAGAGTTTTCAGTTTCCCTGTTGGACTAGACTTACTTTTCATTGCCCCGCCGTCCCCACTCCTGTGTCTTTTTCCCCATGTGCCAGTTCTCAACGTGCTGGAAATGTTCCAATAATAAAGCTCCTTTTTGCCCACTCCCCACCCCAAATGAAGAGGCTGAGGAGCCACACTAAAATGTGATGGAGAGATACCGCCCTTGAATGCTGGGTTTGCTCCACAAGTTTGCAGAAGGCAAAACTGACTTCTCTGTGGGCTCGTATGGTTCGGCGTTTGGCTCTCTTTTTTCTCCTGTGCTTGGCTGCTGCGTGCGGCTTCTAGATAGCACTTTGAAATACTGTAAATTACTTTTCACACAGAAAGTAAGTGGGGAAAAAAATGTTTCACGGCATTCTCTGGACATAAAATGTATTAATTGTATTTTAGCTATTATAGAAATTACTGTAATTTCAGCTCGTGTTCTCGTGTGTGTATGGCAGATGGCAGCTTCTTTGTCAGTAGGTCTGCTCTGTGAATACAGGCGTACTCACCAGAACATTTGCATTCGCTTTCAAAGGTGACTGGAGTGATAATGATTTACTAATGTATACTTGAGCAAGTTTTAAGCTCAAACACTTACAAAACCTGATTATAATATATTGAATGGTAGAATCTGCAGTTGCTGCTGATCTGGTTAGTTATTAAAGCAGTTGCCAGGGACCAAAATCAATATTAAGAGCAACATGCCATATAACTGCCCACCAGACCAGACAGCAAAGGCATTTGCAATGTTCAAAGAATTTGTAAAGCGGGAGTTGCTTTAAAAATAGTGTATTTCACTGCCAATAATACCTGTTATGGGCTGTTCATAGGTGAGTGAACAACAGGCTGATTTTAATGACTTTTTTTTCAATGTGTCTTATGTCTTATGATCTTGTGATCATTTACCCATGTGGTCTATGGTGCTGTAGCTCAAGGTCTTGCCCTTCGTCCAACATTCCCAACTGAATACAGCTATTTTCTTGTGCAAAGAATAGCTCGAAATAAGGAGAGTGCTGTGGGAAGAATGAGGGATTTGATCGTCTTGTGCACTTGTCCAATTGCCTGAATTACCATTATATGAATGAATATTAGCTATTAAGTATAGTTAGGGAGTTTGTGGTAAAGTTGGAAATAGTTCCTAATCTGGGAAGCTGTAAGAATTTTATTGCTGTGCCTTTACATAGATTGATCCACATCTCTGTGTTTAGACTCTTAATAGTCTAGTTATAGACTATTATATAGTCTATAATTATTTATAATATATAGTTTTGTAAGGACTTATACATGCCTGTTGGATGATAATAGATGCACAGGTAAAATTTTTCAGTCCTGCCTAAACTTCGGATTTGAGTAAAAAGCACAGAAGTTCCTATAGATTGTTGAAATGTTGTTTCAATTGGAAATGCTGCTACTTTCTGATGTGTCAATCGACTAACAAGTTTAAATGTTTTCTTAGTTGTGTAATCTCACAATACACTCTTTTTTAATACAAGCAGAATAAATTTTAATGTAGACATAAATGGTATCTCTTTTACTTACTGGCGAGCTGTGTCTTATGCACACTGCTCAGTGAATCAGCCTTCGCCTGCTTTGGCAATATATGGTGATTAAAAAATACGAACAATAATTCAGAATCTGGTTTGTTTGGATTTCTGCCCCCTCCCCATTTTTTGTCACCAGTTGTGGCTTTTTTAACAACAAGTTTATTATGAAGAAATGTCATAACATTCCTAGAAACTGGTTTTATGTTTTAAATGGAGCTTTTTTTTTTTTTCTGCTTAATACATACTGGTTATATAGGAAACTTGATTTAGTTAGATAACCTAAAGTAACTTAAAGGGCTTGCTATTTCCAAGCAAGAACCTTCCACAAGTACTGAGACCTTTAATACTGTCAGTAAGTATCACAACCTGACTGAATCATTTTAAGATGGAGCATGAAATGCAGCTGCGCAGATGAAAACCGTACAAGATTGTATCAGCTAGAACAGGATGCTGGACTAGTATTTTTTGAATATTTTTTAAGATTTTATTGATTTCTTTCATCTTCATTAAAGTACCTCATCTTACCTGTGTGTTTATGTTTTGGATAGGCTGCAAATTGTTATTTTAAAATCTTTACAACAGTGGATTGGAAGGGATGACTCGGGTCTTGGCACCAAAGGCTTAATTTTTTCCATGCCACTGAGAAGTCTGGGTGACAGTAGAACAGATCTGAGGACAGCTGATCAGAGGATGTGAGGTCCCACAAGAGTGCACTTGGTTCACTTCAGTGCCAGGAACTGAACTAGGGTCAATGAGCTGGTTGCAAGTGCTTGCTTGACCACATGTTGCTTCTGGTAGGTGTGTCCAAACTACTGGAACTTCTTCCTCATTGTGTCATCAGGCATCTCCTCCTCTCCCCAGATCCCTCTTAAACCTGTAGTTCTTTTCTGACTTTATAATTTTGGATAACGGTCCTTAACATTTTTTCCATGTGTTTGATTAAAAGACTGCTGTTCACGTGCCTTATTTTGGGGGCTTCACAGCTCCACCAGGTACTGGAGAATAAAAACTGCATGTTGTGAAGCAGTTGGTATTTTTTGATAGCCCAAGAAAATTTCTCCTCTGCCCTGCAACTCCCTATGGCTTTTAGTCCCCTGTGCTATTTTTCTTGTTCTGTCCTTCAAGATGCCCACGTTCAATGAGCTTCACCTGTCTAAATAGGGGAAGCAATGTGAGGTGTTGCTTCTTTCTTTAGTTCAGTTCTGTCCTGGTGGTTACGGTCTCCACCATGCACATTCATATGGAAATCAGAGTCACAGATCTCTCTGTAGGTAGACCACCCTGATACCTAGCCATTTCCTTATCTGTCTCCAGTTGTACTTTTGTTCCAGCTGCTTAGCTTGCTGTTGACCTTTCCTCTTTGTATTCCCTGATGGAAAATGCTTACATACTTTCTGCGCATGGCACGACTTCAGAACAGTCTGCAGCCCACTGTGCCCATTCTAATGTTTTTCTGAAGCTGACAAAGCACTTCAAGATTTTCTTCTTGACCTTTGTGCATTAGTCCAAAAATGAGGCTTAGCACAGTGTTCGCTCCATCATCCAAGTGTCTTTGTAGAAATTAGTCTATGCCTTACTGTCCTTTGGCTCTCTCAGGAAGAAAAGGATTTGCCCAGACAGATGGCTGAAGAAATTGCTCTGTGACTTGTGTGGTTCTGCAGGTAACCTTTTTTTGGCTATCATCAAGTCTGATTTAATGGATCTACCATAAGATAATGTCTCCAACTCTGATTGTCTCTGCTGATGTGTTATCTTTCCATAACTGCTCTTCAGCTGCTCTGGCAACATCTAGCCAGATGTCATTCAGCTAAGTATTTGGTCTGCAAATCATTGATTGTTTTCCTTCAATCCATTATTTGTGCAAATGTCCTGTCAGTACTCAACCCAATTCATCCTACCCATATTCCTTTTAAGGATGCAAAACCATTTTTGCCCCAAATAGTGCAGACTTGAGGCTGGTCTTCCAGCTGATAATGCTTCCAGTTCCAAAAGCCTTGTTCTGCTTGGATTCCTCCATGCCTGAGGACTGTTCACTGAACCAGCTTGGCTTGTTTGTATTCTCCAGTCTCTTGGGTTTCGAGATAGAGGGTGTTATCCCATACTGAGAACTTCTTTAATGATCATCCTATTCTCTTTTACATCTGAGGTGATTTACTGAACAGGCAGTAAGTGAGGATGATAACAATGTGCAGTTGAAAGTTCCGCATCCTTAAAGTCCTGGCAGACTTTGTTAGTCCTTTTCCACTGTTTTCAGTGCCTTCAGGTTGTACTCAACTACACTTTGCATTTCACCCTTCCCACTGGTTGACTCAAGTGGTGTTTGATAGCTGCTGAAGACAAGACAGGACTATGACCTGAAAAGCCACCTTGTCTGAGCAACCTCCACCACTGAGAGTCTGCATTCACATAACATCTTACTTAGCAAGACAAAGGCTTGTCAACAGCACCTGAAATTCATTTTTTTTGTGCCCCTACTCCCTTTATTTTTAATTTGGCTTATGTTTGGACCTCTTTGCTAACTGAAACCCACGGCCAGCATTGCATTGCCTGGTTGGAATTTAGACAACTCGTGGTCGATATAACTCTGATGGATATGGATGAAGAATGGTAGGAATTGCTGAATCCAGTAGCTTGACAGAAGAGAAACTGCCACATTGTCATGTCTCCGGGTCCAGTAGCAAGTCTGAACGTGTGTTATTATTAGGCACATACACACAGTACCTGTATCCACAGTCAGCCACACAGATCAGCACAGCTATAGCACTCATGTGAACTCAAGCAGTGGAAAATATAAGCATTTATACAATATAGATCCTTAGAGTAGCTGGGTTTACATACTCATTCTGTCAGATAGTTGGCCTGTGGATCCCCATATCTCCCCAGCTGATGGCTTCTGGGTCTGCACCCTCACCCTAGCTGCTGGTAATCAGCCCTTCTTGCACACAGACGGTCACAGAAACATGCATGTGCTACGGCTTTAGAGTGTCAATGTTATCCAGTAGCTGGCCCCTGGATCCTCTGTTCTTCCAGGTACCTTGTACACAAACTCTCCTGTGCGTGCATACACACATGCAAACACATAGGTCTCTGGCTGCTGTCCAAAGCTATTGCCCTACCAGTAGCTGACACGGAGATCCTCTGGTCTCTCTAGTAGATGGCTTGGAATGCCTCATCCCTCCAGGTGAACTAAAAAGCCTTTCCTGTTGATTTATCTGCTGTATGTCATGCCCAGACCACAGGCTGATCATTCTCCTTTGATAGCCCTGAGAGTAGCATAGTCAGTATGCTTGTCATCACCTATTAGGTCCTTGGGATTCTTCCATCTTCATCATTCCTTTGCTTCTTTGTCTTCAGACACTTTATGAAGTCTTTAATCACATATCCTAATGAAAAAGACTGAGAGTCTATGACCAGGACAAGAGGTCTTTAGGCTACACACCAAAAAGAATTCATAAATGTATTAATGTCAAGATAGTAGCAGTAGCAGAAAGGATGCTTTTGCCAATTTGTTGTGAGATTGAAACCAAATGAAACATCTTATTATGATTTAGGACTCCACGGTCCCTGTGTATGCAATAATAAATGTTGGTCTGGTATAGATTTATGGTAGCACAGGCATTTTCATATCTACAAAAATCTAACCTATGAGTATCATGTGTCAGTAGAAGTATTGATGACCAGCACAAAAAATTAACCTTTACAACATTTAGAGGACAATTTAGCTGTGATACTAGAAATGTGAAGTGGTGGAGGATTCCAGTCTAAGGATCTCTTCAGTAACTTAATATTCGTAAATATCCTGATTTTTAATATGGTACAATATTGCACATTAGTCACTGCCAAGGATTATTTGTAAATCAGTAAACATAGTCCTTGTTCTAGAATATGCTGAAGGTGTGAAGGAAGTAGAAGCCATGGCTGAATGTTTTAGCAAATCCCCATACCGTGTTTTTGGAGACGCTTTTAGCCTCTTTCCATGGCAGCTATGCAAGAACAGATGACAGTGGTCCCACCAATAACACTGACAGAATTGGAGAGTGTTTGGTGATGGCAGAATGAACAACAAATTAATTCCAGGAATTTAAAGGACATGTCTTTGCAACGGAAAAATCATTCTGCATGCAGAGCTCCAAACAGGGGGCTTGCTCCTTGTAGTTGTAGGTATCAGAGTTCGCTCGGGGGAAACTCCTGCTGGCTTAATGGGACATAGAGAGAAAATGGGCTGCATCTCAGTAAGTCCCTAGCTGAACACCCTGCTAGCAGTGAGGCCCAGCTGTGCTTCTGGCTGAGGTATTTACTCTGTATCGTGGCCCAGACTTCCAGAAGTCTTCCCCCACTTTACATCTAAAACAGAATTTAAAAACAGAACTTTATTTGCATTAAAAGACCTGATTTATCTCTTTTTGATGTCAGTGGAAATTTTCCCATGGACTTTTACAGTCAGTTAACTGAAGTTCAAAAATAAACATTTTTAATGTTATTTTTTGTTCAGTAGAATAAACAAAAGCCTCAGCTGAAGTCAGTGGAAACAAAGTTAAGTGAAACAAAGTTAATGCTGAATGCTCTAGAAATTCTGAAACTTGATGTTCAGTATTGGGACATCCAATATTAAAGGGTTTTTTCCCCTTCTCCCCAAACATTTGGATTTACATAATGCAACACTGAGAGAAAAATACTTCAATGCAATTGTGTGCCTCTCTTGTCAGGCTCCAGAAGAGAACGTTGTGGTTATCGGATGCTGCGTCGCCATTGTAATTCAGAAGATCAGGTGCACTGCATCGGCAAAGCTAAGAAATACAGTGAGACGGCAACCCGCGTAAAAGAGATCCTGCTCAGCACAGTCAGTCCAGAGCAGTTTGTTTTAACGCTACTTCAAGCAGAGCCTCCCAACGTGTTGGTGAGTCGTCCCAGCAAACCATTCACGGAGGCTTCCATGATGATGTCCCTGACAAAACTGGCAGACAAAGAGTTGGTTCACATGATTGGCTGGGCCAAAAAAATTCCTGGTAAGCATTCCAGTCTTGTTTCGGTTGACTTCATTCAATGCTTTTACCATCAATGTATCATTCTCTACCCAGACATAACAGCACAGCACAGTAAACGTGCAGTATGAAAGTCTTCAGCTTTTTATCCTATAAAGTAATGGACAATTTGTTGCTCTCAGTAATTCACCTGGATGTATTTTGACTTAGACAACGATCTAGCCCATAATTTGCTTTCTGTCGTTAGTCAAATACTTGTTCATTTTGCTAAAAAGCATAGTTGGTGTTGCATGTAGTTTCTGCCTTAGCATCAACTGTAAATACCTGATTAATCTGATTTAGAAGGTTCATTAAAAGGGCTATTAACTAGATGGCTATAAAAAAGAATTTCAGACCAAATTCTTTCCTTGAATCCTGACAGAAGGTGTCTAATACTGTTGATGAAAACTGAAGTGTGTCCAAGCACTGAGTGCCTTCAATTGCTTCAGTTGACACAGTTGCTACACAAGAGCATGAGACTGCAAAGTGGCGCATGGTATCGATCTCACAATTATTGAGCGCTCTCCATCAAAACGAAAATCAATAAGGATGCTTTTGGTTGTTGGCAACACAAAGAACATGCACTGAAGTACAACTACATGCGTTATCACCTTGGATGTCTCATCTGTGACCACAGTATCGTATTGTGGCATTGTACCATTTCACTTCTTGCAAACTAGAAGGGGTGAGCATTTTTCAGTTCCTTCTCCATGAAGCACCTGTGATTATAACTGTCAGAATAAAGAATAAAAGGCAGAATAAAAGCAGCCAGCACACAGAAAAGGCAGTTGGCAAAGCTGTGCGAAAAACTTGCTGGCTGGCATAGACTAAACTGCAGACTGTGGCCAACTAATAATGGTGAGCTGAAAGAAGCATTGACTAATTGATGGACCTGTAGCAGCATGGAGCTTAATCCTTAGCTTCAGATATAGTGCTCTGCTAGGAGTGATCCCTACGGCTGTGTTTACCTTGCACGGCTGATCTAGCCTGCAGCACGCCTGGTAGTCCTAACCCCATGTCCATCAGGACTGAGGAGCCAGGACATCACGGCTCCGCTCTTGGATTTCATGCTGAAGGCAACCAGAGCATGCTGGTGCGTGCCCTGGTCTTGTCACACTTGTGCACTACAAACAGCAGTTGGCTGCTGCTTGAATACGCACCCAGGAAGACATGACAGGAATGTTTACATCCAGAAATAAACTGAGTGTGTACACAGTTCAGGAAACAACCTTGGTGGAGAATATTTCGTATAATCCTTATATTAAGAATTTAGGACAAGGGAAGCGTATCCTATTTCAGATCTAGCTGGAGTGGCTGAAGGTGCTACCAGCTCCAGCTGCTGGACCACATCTGCTAGCTGCAGATTACAGTCTCTGTGGCTCAGCCGCTGTGTTGGAGGGTTCAGGTGACGGTTTTAGGGTGTGCGGATTCCAGGTCAGCTGCTGAGCTGCCAGAGAGGAGATGCTTGCACAGCACGAGTATCTTAAACCACACTAGCTGTTTGCAAAGGGATAGTGGTTTTGCCATTGACGTGGAATATTTTAAACTGAGACCCTGAATCCTTACTCCTTAGTTTTCCTGATTTAAGAAACTCTGAAAATAACCGTAAAGTAACCATAAGGGGTTAAGTGGTGTTTATTGCTATAATTTCTTGTCTGATCAGAAGAAAACTTGATTGAAAGGTACCTTTTCAGAGGACTCCATATAGTTATGTTAATACAGTAGGAAGTGAATTGTGAAGGAAAACCAGAGAAAGTCTTAGAAAACAACCTTATTTTAAGCAGTATTTGAACGAGAAAGAAAATGAAAACAACCTTTTCCATTTTCTGGTTGTTCTTAATTTCTATTTTTTTTAACTGTCAGCTTTTTTTAAAAACAAAATCACAACCCCAAAACCTCAGCAAATTGACATTAAATTTTTTAATTTTTCAAAAGATCAGATTCTGAACCAACCCCAATTTTGACATTAATCACTTTTAGTTTATTTTCAGCATTCATCAGAAATAAAACCTCTACTTGGCAATAAGAGAACTGTATGAAGAAAACCCACTGAAGCAGTTAAACCCCTTCAAAACAATTCCTGGGAATGTTGACACTATATCGTGTATGTTTGTTTTTTCTAATCATTCCTGTTACACAGAACAGAAGTAAACACCATTTTAGAACGATGCCAGAAATAGATGTGATGTTTAAATATGTACCTAATTGTAAGTAATATTGCCATATGACATGTTAGTTTGAGCATTCGGATTGATTCATTTATTTTTATAGCAAATAGATTTATTTCTTTTTTCCATTAAAACAAATGTGATGACAAAAGCTTAGGGATAGAATTTCAGTCTGCAAAAATTCTTGCCTGAAATTAATCATCTACATCCATGCTCTGATTCCTGGAGGTAAGGTCTTAGATAGAAAATACCGCGTTCTTAACTAATGGCCCAGTGAACAGTAATTTTACTTTCTGTAAAGCTGAATATTTGCTTTTGTATAGCTGGCTAAGAAGCCCGTTGTCACCTCTAAATTATTCTTTTGACACTCACCAAAAGTGAAACAAAATATTTTAATTTTTCTTTATAGATGCTGATGTTAACAGTAACTTTTGCCTAAATAGGAAAGATAAATGTTTATATTTTTTCATATTTAACATTTAATGACCTTCTTTTGTTATGAGTTTTACGCTGTGACTGGATTGTTATCTGTACTTTCAGCTTAATGGATTGTATTTTTGTTGTTGCTCAGTGAAATAGAAGCTGTCACCCAGATATTTTTCCTTCTGAATGCCAAGTTTTTTAATTCTAAGTTGTCAGACAGCAACAGAACATAACTTCTGTAACTGCCTTTCACTTTGTTGACCTAGTCTGAGTTGAACGTGGTTCATAGCTGAACCTGTACCGCTAATCAATAGGATGTTGTCATAATATTGAAATTTGGATTCATTATGCAACCTAGTGTGTTGCTGGCCAAAGTAGTGTGTCTTGTGCTAGTTACTACACATCCAGCACAAGTTTTTTCTTGTCTTTGTAATTTATAATTAAATCATTAGGTATAGAGCACACAATTTAAAGGATGCATACTACAGCCATAGAAAAATAAGTAGTTTAATGTACTCTGCAGCAAATGAAATGGGACTTCTGACACTGCATTAGAAGCTGTGGTGGAGGAAGCTGTGCTGTCCTCAGTCTTTAAAGTGTGAGATTGTTAGGAAAAGGAAGGGCATGGTCCTTGTGATAGCTGTGCTCAATGGCCATGAATCCTACTGGTGGGGCTGAGTGGGTGAGTTTAGCAGGCGACATCCAGGATAAATCTGGATCTTTCAGTGTCTGTAGATTGAACGCTGGGACTTGGTCTGACATCTTGCTCCACTGAGATAGATAGTTTTTAAACCAAATAACTGGTTGTTTATGCTACAGAAATCAGCACATGCCTGCATAAATATTTATTTAAATAAACTCCTGAGATGTCTTTGGGCTGTTGTTTCCCAGGAAACTGCTGCTGTCAGTTTATACTATTCACACTGCCATGATTATTTTTCTAAAACCACTTTTAAAATTATGTGTGTGTCTGGCAGATAATCTGTTGTTGGCTGTGGATTCTGTAGTAAATTCTGTGACAGCGAAACCCAGGAGGGAAGGTACCGCTCCTAGGCTCCTGTTTACCCCTCTGATAAAGCAAGGAGCAAGGCTATCGATTTTGAAAGGCAGTACTCTTAGCAATGATAGGAGAGGGTGCGCGTTACCCAGTTTACATCAAGCTGGGGCTGTCACCAACTGTCTTCCAGCCTAGTAGTTTAATAAGATTAAAATACATGGAGCATTTGTATAAATTGCTGACGGCAGATGCTTTGACAGCGCAAATGTTCTGGGTGTATTTTAAGACAGCTGGCAAGAACTACGGGGAACCTGTCTCCCATGGCCAGGCCGTGTAACGATGTTTCACTGTGCAGAGTCGTAGATAGCAGCTCGCCTAAAAATGAAGTGCCTTTGCTAAAAGAGCTACCTACAGCAGCTCTGCTTCGAAAACTGTGGCCTGATCGGGGCTTTGAACACAGCTGCAGTTTGACCACCGAACGGGTTGGCACTGTAGCTGTGTTTCATTCCTTGACTGAGCAGTCGGCTTTCCCGCTTGCATTTGATAATTCACACTTCTCTTTTCTGTGTTTTGGGTTTGCTGTGTAGTTTTTTTTTTTTGTAAGTGTGTTAATTTTATTTCTCGTTATTTGACTTCTATGAGTCTCTTTTCCCCAGTCTTTTTTGCAGGGGAAGGGAAAGGGAGGGAAACGACTGTCTGTCCCTTCTGGCGATGTTGCAGTGCTATCTGATGCCTTGCAATAACTTCTGGGGACATCAAAATGCTGGAACAGGCTTATGCACAATGCATTAATTCTGTTCTTGCTTCTAGGATGCTGTGAATGGAGGCAACGAGGACACTAATAATTTCACCAAAAACCCTTGTCTATTTTTTCTGGTTTATCGCCATTTTGGGGAAGAGAGTGGCAATAAAAGGATGGGCTGGGTTCAACACGTGTCATTTACAAAGGGGATGATGACACAGAGGCACCAAGATGTGGGTGCTTTCATAGCTACCCAACAAGCCAGAAACGAGCCTCTCTTATGAGACTAAAAAGGCCCCTGCAAGTGACAACCATATACATTCTGGGGAAAGAACAGGCTATTTTCTTAGGACTCCTTTGCAGTGCAATGCAGTGATCTCCGACAAATGTGAGTTTCCCGAGTGAATCCCCAGTGCCTCTCAGGAGGCTGTGGGACCGTCGTCTAAAGAGGTGGCCAAGCATAAGGCAGGTCCTCTGCAGTCACTGGAGTTTCACTGGCTGTATGGGAGTAATTGCACTTGAACATCACTCTGCTTTATTTCAAATGTTTTGTGGAAGATTTGACAATGATAATAACAAATATTTATGTTCCTATTTGAGATGGCAGCATGGTCCTTCTGATGTCCGTGCTCCCTTTTCTGGCCTTCTTCACAACCCATCATTCTTGCTGTTTCTTTTCGTTTGTCATGTACTCAGTCTTCTTTATGAAAACAAAGAACTAAATGTATTGATTAATTTCATGCTATTTTCATCATTTTAGGCTTCATTGATCTCAGCCTCTTTGACCAAGTAAGACTCTTGGAGAGCTGCTGGATGGAAGTTTTAATGATTGGTTTGATGTGGAGATCAATCGACCATCCTGGAAAACTAATTTTCGCACCAGACCTTGTACTGGACAGGTAAGAGAAATAAACTTCTTGAGACCACTTCACATTAGTGTGTTTGGAGGTGGGTAGGAGGAAGAAGATTAAGTACGGGAGATGCTATTAATAGTTTATCTAGCAATATCCTTTATTTGTACTTGTAACAATAATGTTTTGAGGTTCCACATCCTTACAGGGGCTTAAGGAATGCTAAGCATAAACAGTACTGTTGAACTTGCCAGTTCCTCAATTCCTGGAGCACATGACAGTGTGAAGTTTCTCTGTATCACATCTTTTGCTGGTTTTGTTCCTCTTGGTCCAGGTCTCTAGATGTTGAACCTGTAGATACATCAACACAATGCACTACAGTGGTGTCCCTCAGGGGTCCATACTGGGACCAGTACTATTTAATGTCTTCATCAATGACATAGACAGCGGGATCGAGGGCACCTTCAATGAATTTGCAGATTACAACAAGCTGAGTGGTGTGGCCAACACATCTGAGGGATGGGATGCCATCCAGAGGGACCTGGACAAGCTTGAGAAGAGGGTCCATGTGAACCTCATGAGGTTCAACAAGGCCAAGTGCAGGGTCCTGCGTATGGTTTTGGGACAACCCCTGGTACTGGTGGATGACAAGCTGGACATGACCTGGCAGTGTGCGCTGGCAGCCCAGGAGGCCAACTGTACCATGGGCTGCACCCCCAGCAGCATGGTCAGCAGGTTGAGGGAGGGGATTCTGCCCCTCTGCTCCGCTCTGGTGAGACCCCCCTGGGAGTCCTGTGTCCAGCTCTGGAGCCCTCAGCACAGGACAGACCTGGACCTGTTGGAGCGGGGCCATAGGAGGCCACAGCAATGGTACGAGGGCTGGAACCTCTCTGCTGTGAGGAAAGGCTGAGAGAGTTTGGGCTGTTCAGTCTGGAGAAGGGAAGGCTGTGGGGAGACCTAGTTGCAGCCTTCCAGTACTTAAAGGGGGCTACAGGAAAGATGGGGAGAGACTCTTTATCAGGCAGTGTAGTGATAGGACAAGGGGTAATGATTTTAAACTAAAAAAGAGTAGATTCAGGCTAGAGATAAGGAAGACATTTTTTACGATGAGGGTGGTGAAACACTGGCACAGGTTCCCCAGAGAGGTGGTTGATGCCCCATCCCTGGAAACGTTCAATGTCAGGCTGGACGGGGCTCTGAGCAACCTGATCCAGCTGAAGATGTCCCTGATCATTGCAGGGGCTTGGACTAGATGGCCTTTAAAGGTCCCTTCCAACTCAAACTATTCTACAATTCTATGATTGTCAATCAAATTCTTCCAGCTGATAGGTTTTCTCCCCCCACCCCTCAAAACAAGCAGATGTAGTGTCAGACCATGTTTCAATTATTTTAAGTAGCTTTTCTACCTGTTTTTCTGCTTGCCCCTAGTGCAGACTTCATAAATAGCTATAATAATGAACATCGTAACACTAGCCAAAAGGGATTTAAAAAACCCTTAGCTTGCTTTTTAATACTGAGAGTATTTTTTTCAAGCTAAAGCAGGGTGTTTGCAAGATTAAAAATTATTTCTCCAAAACATCGTTTACCAGCAGGGAAGAACATGGATTGGTAACAGTGTTTTTCTACAGGACCTTAGAAGGATTTGACCTCAGCTTCACATTGGTAAAAAGTCAGGGAAACGATTTACTCTATTGGGCAGGTTTAAAATGCCTCTTAACCTTTTCAACCTGGGGAAATTCATGTCTGTACCAGTCCTGTGGCTTGAGCTCTATAATAATCATCATCGCAGGTACAGAAAGCAAAATGGGTTAGTGAGAGAAATAAATTTGTTTGATAAAGGGTGTGAAATAAATTATTTGCTCATAGAAAATTCAGTGCAAGAACACGCTGTGTTGTTCAACACAATTATAAGAAATTGCTGAAAATGCATGATACATTTAGTTCCTCAGGAGCTGATATGTGCTGAATAGAGTGAGCTTATGTGATGCATTCCTTCATCTCCACAAGACACAGCACAACGGGAGCTAGCAAGCACCCGGGCATGCTGTAATATGTTTTTGAAGACATGCATATACGAAACCGGTCTGTAACTTGATTGTTTTTATCTGAGCTGAACTTCAGATACATTTCCTACATAATCTTTGTAGACAAATACTTCTCTGATGGTTGTGTTTGTTTAGAAATTGCAGCTGCCTGCCCCTCTCCGAAGCTTCACATTCTCCTTCGCTGTGAGGAACGTGGGGAAGGGGGCAATATTCCGGCAGCTGCCTTCCTGCAGGCAGCGTTGCTGCCCCTCTTAGTGGTGTCTGCCTGCGCCCACCTCGCAGCCTGGAGGCTCAGCACCTGCCAGCTGGGACCCGGCAGAGGAGAAGAGTTCTTTAATTCCCCTGCACTGCTGTGCTTAAGTCTGTCTCATCTTAGAAACATTACAGAGAAAAAAAATCTTATAGTCCAGATAGTATAAGAAGCATCCCTTTGAATACTGTGTCATAGAGCTTAATTGCTTTTTGAGTCCAGTATATGTGAAAAAAACCTAACCAAAACCAAGGAACAGTAACATCAGTGGTTGGAAATTTGCTGCTGCATAATTTTAAACCCATTGGAGTGGCTTAGGGTTGTCTGGGGTTTTTTTTCAGATCAGAAAATGGGACCATTTCTGATATCCAAAATGGAAAAAGTTGCATTTAGTAAACACTTGTGAACTCAGAAATAACCAAACCACAAAACCACCAAAAGCCAAAAAAATCCATTTACAATTAAGCATCTCCAAAGAAAAAGGTGCCAGGGGATGGGAGTAGAGGTTGTTTTATTCTTTAAAATTGTCTTATTGTTCCAAGAGACTTGTTTGAGGGGATCTTTCTTATTCACCAAGTCCTGAGGCCTCCGTCAGGTACAAAGAGTGATGCCACTGGTTGTGGTACTAACTCCTTGTGAAACAAATCCGGAAAATGGTTCAAGGTGTACTGTGCCCTGCACTACGGAGTTTCAAACTGGTTACCGAGGATTGTACTGGCTGTGAGTTTAAAGCCTCTTACACAAATCAGATCATACTTACCTGCGGTCAATCCTGCATGCACTTTAAAGAGAAAATCAGTTTCTTAGAGGTGATGACCTTCTATTCCAGTGTAATTTTCAATTTAGATTTCATAATAGAACCTTCTGAATTCTCCCAAGGAAAAGATGGACAGGCCTTTTGCAGCCTCATTCATGCTTTGACTTTTGTCTGGCTGAGTCAGAGTTCCTTAATTCTACTTTTTCAGTAACTTTTTCAATGTGTTTCCATAGGGACGAGGGGAAATGCGTAGAGGGAATTTTGGAGATCTTTGATATGCTCCTGGCCATGACCTCGAGGTTCCGAGAGCTGAAGCTGCAGCACAAGGAGTATCTGTGTGTCAAGGCAATGATCCTTCTCAATTCCAGTGAGTATGTGGTCGATGCTCACCAAACTGTACTTTTTATTTCAAGGGTGGCTGGGAAATCAGCCTCTAAAGATGGCAGAAATAGCAAATGAGATAAAGCCGTTGAAAGAGAACAACAGGAAAGGACTTCTAACTGTCAGACTGTAAGGGTTTTTGCTCAGGAAACTTCTGAGCAGTATCATTTGCTGGATTTAGGGTCCATGGCCTGTTGTAATAACTGCATGAAAGGCTCTGAAAGTCTGAAAGTTTCTCACAAAATGGGGCTTACGGCCCAAGCTGTGTCTCTGTGGCTCCTGGTCATGTGTCAAGCTACTGCACAGCTCCACAAACCTGTCCTTAACAGTTAATCCTAGTTAAACTAGTTACTCAACTGAGTGGTGATTAATTGGGCTTAAATGTTCCTAATTAATGGTAATTAAATGTTCCTAATTAATGGTAATTAATTGGTAGAAATGATTGGAAGTACTCAACAGTTCCGCAAGATGAATTGCAGGATAGCAGCTTTGCTTTACAGCAAGGCAGATAGGAGAGTGTGTTTGCTGATTCAGCAAATCATGTTCATCAGTGATATTTTCTTCAAAGCCTCACATCTCAAAAAAATCTATCCCTTCACCTCTCCCTGCTCTCCTTTCTTGTCAAAGTTAGTCTTTTACTCCTAATTTTCAAGGTGTTCTGGAGCCCTGTCCTTCCACAAGTATCTTTGGGAGGATTATTTTTTTTTTTTTGCCCAGGTCTCTGCTACTCTCTCAGTAACGTCATTGTGTGTTTCCAGCCCTTCCTAGCGGGGATTTCTTCTCGTCCCTCTCCGTACCCCCAGTCCCCTTTTTTGGCATTTGCTGACTTTTAAGGTTTCTCACTGTAGGCAAGTGCTGTATTATGGCACCCTTAGCGAGCTGCAGGGAGCCCATGGCAGGCTGGGGCCATCAGCAGTGTCTCTCACCATGTTCTCCTTCCTCCCTAGGAATACTCAGGTATACTCAGAGAAAAATGGATTTTTTCAGCAAGAAGTTGTTAGAGCAGGCATAATGCTGTAATTCATAATAGTTATTAAGTTGCAAAGTACGGAGTGATTCAAAGGAAAAACCCCTGGAGAAGGGAGAGCATGTGCGTTCTCGGGACTGAAGGGTCTATGTTCAACATACTGTCTTGGGAGGATTTGGGAGGGTTATTCAGTTTGCAAATGACGTGGCCATCAAATTTTGGCAAAGGGATGTAAGCTGGAGCTTGGCGTGGCACATGGAACATCGTTTGCATGGTCTTGAGGGGGTGTCAGGATATGTATCTTCTCTAACCCTATGGAAATATTATATCAGGAGAAAAACCCACAGTCATGGCTTTTTTTCCTTCCTCATGAGCAGGGCACATTTCTTTCTCTTCCCTGGTTAGGCATGTTTCCCTTGTCAGCAGCAAAACCTGAAAGAAACAGGAAACTGCATCACCTGCTGA